CCCTTAAAATAAAAAAAAAGAATGCTGATTTCTTTGATGTCATTATTTTGACGAGCGCCTGATTTCACCACGATGCCTCACGTATTTAGAATGAGGTTTCACGTACCAAGAACCACTTTCTCCTGTCTCTATCTCTCACCTGGAAGTCGTGCTGTGTTGTAGTTGTTGATTTTGTTCTAGAACTAGAACTGGCGTGCATTAATATTGTTATACATGTACCGGTAGTGTTGTTGTTGTTGTTGTTGTTGTTGCTGTTGTTGTTGTTGTTGTCATGATTATCATCATCATTGTTGTTGTTGTTGTTGTTGTTGTTGTTGTTGTTGTCATGATTATCATCATCATCATCATTGTTGTTGTTGTTGTTGTTATTATTATTAATATTGTTATTATTATTATTATTATTACTATCATCATCATCACCATCATTATTATTATTGTTGTTGTTGTTGTTGTTGTTGCTGTTATTACATACTGCACTATACTGTATTATCTTTATCATGAATATATGACATTGTATTTGTATTAATATTAAATAATAATATTTATATTTTTATTACTATTATTAAATTATTTGTATTATTATCATTATTATTTTTGTTATTGTTCCGTTATCATTACTATTGTTATTATCATTAATTATTACATGTACTACTTTTATTATTATCATTGTTGTTATTAATTTTGTTCTTATTATTGATACAATACTATTGTTCTTCTTTATATTGTTCTCTTTATCATTGTTTTTCTTCTTATGATTGTTCTCCTTCTTTATATTGTTCCAATTATTACGTCAGTTGTAGGAGCTATCTGAAGTAGGCCTACTTGGGCGAGCTGCATTAATGTGATGGTAATTTTTATGCAAATATTTTATTAGGAGTTTTACGGTATTAATTGCATCCCAATTAGCTCATACAGTATAGGTCTAAGTTATTCTATAAGTGCAAAAGATAAGTTGTGTTACAAAAGACTAACACTAACACTAACACACATGAAAGGGGGGGGGGGGGAGAGAAATAAGGGTGGCAGATGTTTGATAGGAAAGAAGAAACAAATCACAGCAGATCACCCGCCAAACACCCACGTGAAGATTATTGTTTTGATAGATGGATAGACAAGACAACCCACAGAGGAGAAGACTTGGTATGTCAGATATCAAGAACATCACCAGCGCTTCTAAACAAAATCAAAATACGAAAGTTATATATATAATACATGTGATTATTTTGGCCACACGAAGAAACGCGACACTCTTCAAAAAGAAAACTAGGTTGTTGTTTGTTTTTTAAAATTAATATGGGCATTTTTACGCCTCCAGCGATACAAGGCATCATTTAGTAGTT